TAAAAGAGTATAGGTTAAAAAATATTAAATATATTATTTTATAACAAATTTTGGGGTTAGTACTTGTCTATTTATTTTTAAAAAATTTTAAAAAATAATAATAAAAAATACCTTAATTTATATTTTAAAAATAAAATAAATAAAAATAAAAATTATGTTGAAGTTTTTAATTTAAAAAAATAAAAAAAATATATCTATTATTCTAAGATTAAAAAAGAGTAATTTTTTAAAAACATTTTAGACATAAATTATACTAGGAAATCTTCTTCTTTTTCAAATCTTTCTTTCTCGCTTAAGACTTGAACATAGTTGAGATCGAAGCTCATTTTTGTCGAGACACCTACTTGGGACCCATTTACGTGAGTGTTAGAAAACATTTCTTTAAACTCATTCCATTGTGGTTGTACTCGAAGATTTAGATAGAAAAGTAGAATTAAAGGGCCAAATTACTAGGGAAGGATTATCAAAGAACTTAGAAAGAAATGTTTCCAAAGTTGGGGGGTTGTTGTTGGGTGGGAAGGGGCATGACCCACTTTGACCCTTCCCTTGCTCAACTGAGCTTGTTCTTTTGTAATGGAAAATTACAAATGTAATTAAAAAGTCAACTTATCTACGTTAAAATTAGGAAATTTATAAAAAAAATTATTATTATATAATTCTATCTTAGTCTGCTCATATAAGATATAATTCTTTCTCAAGCAATCAATTTTCCTTTTAGTGTATTGTTGGGAAAAAGGAAAAATAGAAAAAGTTTCACCATATTATAAGATAGGGGTTTTAAAATATTTCAAAATATTATAATTATAATATCATATAATATAATAAATTTATAATATAATATATTATTATATAATTGATTCTTTTTATTTAGACTTCACCTGTAATATTTTATATATTTACTTATTTAACAACACATTATAATTATTTAATATTATCTTATAATTATAAATTTATAGTCTTATGTTGTATTGTAACTATAATATTATTATTAAATCTTAAAGTTATAACTTCAAGTTTTTGTTACTATGTTGCATATTCAATGCAACTTTATATTAGTATATCCTTTACATTGTAGTTTGCTTTAGTGATTAATTTGTGCTATATTTATCTGCAATATGTTAATTTATGAATATGCATTAGAAAATTGTATGAGATAATTCTTCAAGCACACAAAGAAATTAAAAAACTAAGAAAAGACAGCATGACACGACATGACTGCCTGATAAAATTGGTTCCTTGATCTAGAGACTCACGGGAAAGCCCTAATCAATTGTGCTCTATCAATCTTCCAATCCAAAACCAACGTAGACAAATTTAATCACGGAAAGCCAAGTCACATGCCAATATCAAACAAAACTCAATGCGTGAATGTGAGTGTTAATTCCTATGAAGACAGCAACAACTCTTCCTTTTTAGCTTGTGTTTGAACAGAAATCCCGTGCATGCTCTGCTACTGCAACCCTCCAAGCGGTCCAAGGACTCCAGATTAAGATTGAAAATGATTCTATAATTTTCGAAATGAAAATACGTGATTGCACATTATACATACTTTTCAAAAAAATTAAAAAAAAAAAAGTTAAAAACACTCATTTAATATCATGTTATATTATTAAGAGATCATAAGTAAAAATATTGTAACTCAATTACTTTTTATTCATATTAAAATCAATTAAAAAATAAGTTATTTAAGTTACAAACTTAACTGATATGGAATTTTCCTACCATAAAACAATCTCAAACAGAGCTTTTATTCAGGCACTCGTGCAAAGGCCGTCTAACACATCTCACCAACCAAAAATTAAGAAAATTAAAACGTGCTACCTTCTATGCTTAATTGCTTTAGGCAAAAGGAGAACCTCATGGCTTTTAAAAAAAGAAACTAGTTAGGAGAACAATTAAGTCATCTGGTTTGACTGAACATTTTTTTTTTTGGCCAAAGACAAAGAAGTTTTACTGAACAATGACCTCCAACAAACAGGCTAATTTTTTCCCGCTTTTTTTTTCTTATATGAAAAAAGACTAATATTATTGATTGGGGAAGTATAAGATTTTAAAGAGAGAATGGAAATTACAAAATTAAATATTGAATATGAAAGTATCAATAATGAACTACTATGACTAAATTAGTGAATGCTACCAAAAACTAATTTAGAGATTCGCCTTGGCCAAATTTACAAAATATATAATTCAAGAGAGGAAGGCAAATTTTTAATAATCTATTTTAATTTCTAAATAAAGTAGTAGTAGTTATTGTTGAGGGATGAGTTTATATGATTATATCACCAATGACGTGTGCGGATTCATATTAGCAAGGGCCCACAACACTCACTTCCCATCCATGAGCAAGTGGATGAATTGACTGGAACTCTTTCAGCTTAATCAAAGGTGTTGATTTCAAGTTCTGAGAATGCAATTCTATTAAAACTCGTGAGGGAGAGTTTTGCCGTCAATTGGGTTCTGCCTGGCTCGAATCCAGATTAGTCGATGGTCTGGTGGGCTTCCAAATACAGGGTGGTCCATACAAAAAAAAAAAAACACTCATTTCCCACATTGGACATGCAGTTCCTATTTTCTATTAATTGTTGCAAATGAGTCGACATTGCCAAAAGCAACGCTGAACATTATTCTCTTATATATCACCAGGAGTGGCATTTACCCACTTCGTTGGGAATGATACAAACGTGTTCTACTTCAGCAGCATTCCCTTACACATGGCAAGAAACGGCCACGTTATCTACGCAACATGGCTGAATGTTTTTGACGGTCATGTCCTTTGCAACAATGTTACTGCTACATATTTTGGCTCCCAGCAATGGATAAGAACCTATTTTACTACATAGCTCCCATCAATGGACAACGGGTTGATTTTATTATATTTACATAGCTCCCAGCGATGGACAAAGAATCAGATTTACTATCTCATTTAGCTCTCAATAATGGACAAAAGGTTACACATTTCTACATATTTTTATTTCACCGGCTCCCGGTAATGGACAAAGAGTCGGATTTCTACATATTCTATCTCACTGACTCTCGAAAATGGACAAAGAGTCAGCGCAACTCAGTACGATTAACGTGAGGCCAGTAACAGTTGCAAACCTGTGATTGGATGGGATAACTACCCTCCAGCAATAAAAATCCATCAAGAAGCGATTGACGATCCCTTGGTGGTTGCCCATGCATGGTGGTGCGGTGCCCAACAGGCAACAACAACTAGGACCACCCTCTGACGGTGCGGGTACAGCAAGAAGGGTCAACGTTTGTCAGTGGTATCACACCTTGTCGTATTGGAGGCCATGGATGCAGCTAGCGTCCCCCTTCCATGGAGACAACTCCACCTTTCTCTATACATATTCAT